TGGTGGTGATGAGTGTGTGTGTGTGTGTGTGTGTGTGTGTGTGTGTGTGTGAGAGAGAGAGAGAGAGAGAGAGAGAGAGAGAGAGAGAGAGAGAAATTGAGAGAGAGATTAAGAGAGAGAGAGCAAGACATTTTCCTGATATTGGTTATCTATAGGTTCCCAAAACAACTGAGTGGGAAGTGAAAAACAGTCAGATATTTGGCTCCCCCCCCCCCTCCCAGCATGCTGCTAAACATGGAGATCTCCTCAAACACCCACCTATTAGCTGGAAACTGAAAATTTCATCCATATGTTCCAGGGTGTGATAATGCAGCTTGCATATAGATGACTGATTAAAACATATTTTTGGATTTTTTTTTTTTTTTTTTTTTTTTTTTTTTTTTACTTCAGAGTCATATTCGTCATTTATGGCATCATCATCATCATTTGGGCTGAATTCATGAGTTATTACGAGATAGTTGGATTTTTGAGCTCTTATTAAATATTCACAATAAATCCAGTCTAAAAACAGTTATAATTCTTTCCTTTTCTTCCCAGGACCTTTTCCCTGTAGCTAACACGTTCTGTTAACTTCATGGGCTTCTTATAAGACTCGAACACCTTAACGTGCGGAATGTGCTTGTCATAGTGCCCGGTACATTCCAATAGAACGATGCCCACTTTTCTTGAAAACTACTGCCCCAGCAGATGCAATCCTGCCAGAGCAACCCTCGGTGATCCCAAACCAATAAGCAACGGTCGGTCCCATAGACACGGCTTTCTCAGACACTGAGCTCATGCTTTCGGAGAGGAGACCTCTGTACCTTTCGCCACCTGGGACACGGAGGCCGGGCTGAGCTCACTCGCCTTTACATGCAAAGCTCCCCGGGTGCAGCCTTCTTTTCCTCTGGGCTCCTGGGCTGGTGATTGTCAGGCCACTGCATGGCCCACAGCCAGTGCTTCTTCACGCCTTTTCCTCTTTGCTTTTCATGGAGTCCCTTCCCATTCAGACAGTCAACTGTCTTTGCTTCAGGGAATCTTTTTATCTTTTTTCTACCGACCCTTCTGATGTGCTGTAGCACGTCTGTCAGGCCTGGGGACAAGCAAGATAGAGATAAGGCTGTTAAATGTGGTGAAAAGTAAGAGTCAATGTGTCCCACGCCAGAGGCCTGCTTTTGCTTAATCCTAGGCCGTGAGTGATGTTCCCGAGAGTGATGAGCGCCCTGGAGACTTCTTCCAGAGAAGGGCAGTGGCACCTGGACGTTTCCCTCCACGGGGACACAGAAGACCCTCTGAATCCAGTGGAAGGGCCGGTGATGCTCAGTCATCCCTGACTCAATAACACCAGCCTGGCCAGAGACTCCGAGCAGGCGCCTCCCTGCTGCCCTCGCCTGCTCAGCCTGCCCCTCAAGTGGAACCAGATGGGCCGGGTGGGTCGTGAGGGGGACCCACAAGGAGACCCCAGGGAAAACTGAGCTCCTGGTCCCACCCACTGCCCCAAACGGCTTTCTGAATCGGCTCATCCAGGAACAACCCCCCAAACCCTTTTTATCTCCCAATCACCAAGAACCTGATCCTTTATTTAGTCCCCAAACTCGGAAACTAATCTTTTATTTATCTCTGCTGTAATCCCACTGCGGGCTGTGTACGGAATACGCTGCTTGGGAACAAACCTCTAGGATTTCAGAAGGACCCTCCGCCAGGGGAGCGCAGGGGCTTAGGAGGGAAAGTAAAACCAGGGCCAGGATGTTTAGGTTCCATGTGTGAAGGGGAGGAAGAATGCGGCTCGTTGGGGCTTGTGTGATGGAGAATGAGCCACAGGCAAGCTCCCTAGTCACCAGACCGTGGTGGAGGGCGGGAAAACAGGCCAGCGTGACGTCAGGCCCCAGAAGGGCCAGCCAGTTGAAACAATTTCCCAAGCTTCCTTTAAGGCTGCCGGCTCAGCCCTCCACCCAGGGCAGGGAACCACGGACATGCTGCATGGAGCGTGCTGAGCGGTCCCACACAGCTGTGGTCCCACCCCCTCTCGGTGGTTCTGGGGCCAAACCGCATGGCCCATGTGGCAGGGGAGGCCAGCCTACCTGCCTGTCCCCATCCATCATCCATCCTTAGCAGGCGACTCCCACCGGGGGTGGGGGTGGGGTGGGGGGAGGGCCCTGAGAGCACTGCCTTGCCCCCAGAGGTTTCAGAATCACCGTTCTTCTGTTCATTCTTGTATTCCACTACTATTTCCTGAATGCCTACCATGTGCCAGGCCCAGGGCTGGGGCTGGGGCTGGGGCTGGGCATTCGGTGGTTAGCAGGGCATGGTCCCTGTGTTCACAAAGCTAGCAGACTTTGGGGCTGTGGGGAAAAGCAAGCAGATACTGAATAGGCATTTAACTGAAATTATGGTAGCCAGAGGGGGTGGAGTCACACTGGGGGTTTGGGGGTCAGAGGCTAGTAATATGAGCAGGAGTTAGTAAGGTACAGAGTTGGGGCTGGGGGGGGGGGGGAGGGGAAATCAAGAAGTGTCTCCACAAACTCCTCCACTCTCTTTGGCTTTTCTGCTTCTTCATGCCTCCTTCCAAACCTTAGCTCCTGACTCGGTGCCCTTAGCATGCATTCAAAACTGTTTCCAGAAGCTGCCTCTGGCTTCACCCCAGGACAAGCCAGTTAGTCTGTCCCTTCCCAGTTCCCCTTTGGGGGAGGCAGCTGCCCTGTCTAGGTGCTTCTTTCTCCAATTTGCTCTCATATACTCACACATCATTGGTTCACATGCCACATCAGCTCAATCACAGGGGGCTTTCCTAGCACTGCTGGCCCCACAGAGAAGGCAGCACACTTTGTTCACATGCTATTAGCACTAGAGGCCCAGTGCACAAAATTCATGCACGGGGGGAGGGGGTGTTCCTCAGCCCAGCCTGCACCCTCTCCAATCTGGGACCCCTTGAGGTAGGATCCAGGTAGGATTGGGACTAGACGGGCAGTCGGACATCCCTCTCATAATCCAGGACTGCTGGCTCCCAACTGCTCGCCTGCCTTCCTTCCTGATTGCCCCTAACCTCTTCTGCCTGCCAGCCTGATCACCCCCTAACCACTCCCCTGCCAGTCTGATTGATGCCTAATTGCTCCCCTGCCAGCCTGTTTACCCCTAACTGCCCTGCCCTGCAGGCCTGGTTCTCCCCACCCCCACCCCCCAACTTCTTCCCCTGCAGGCCTGGGTCCCCGCGCAATTGCCCTTCCCTGCAGGTTCAGTCGCTCCCAACTTCCGTCCCTTGCAGGCCTGGTCTCTCCCAACTGCCTTCCCCTGCTGGCCTGATTGCCCACAATTGCCCTCCCTTGAAGACTTGTCCCTTCCAACTGCTGTCCCCTGCTGGCCATCTTGTGGTGGCCATCTTGTGTCCACATGGGGGCAGGATCTTTGACCACATGGGGGCAGCCATCTTGTATGTTGAAGTGATGGTCAACTTGTATATTACTTTTATTAGATAGGATTCTCTCCCTCAGAACTTCCTTTCTTCACTTTTTTAATGTTCTCTCAGCCAGGGCCAGGCCTTGATCTTGTCCCAAGCTGAGCACTAAAGGGGAGCCTGAAAGAGGGCAATGGGGGTGGGGGTCAGGGTAGGTTTCCTGAGAAGGTGACACCTGGGAGTGTCAGACTGAGGAGGAGTTGTTCAGGTGACATTGCACCTCTTTCCCCTCCTACCTTTCTTGCTCTTTTCCATGCATTTTCCATTCTCTGCTGTTACCTATCATGAATATGTCTGGGCTTCAGCATCAAGAGATAGAGCTGGGAAGGCCCTTGGAGATCTAGTCTGACACCTGCCCATTTAACAGATGGGGACAGTAAGGCTCTAAGAGGGATTGATTGATTTGTGGATATTGAACCATCCTTTCATCCCTGAAATCAATTCCACTTGGACCTGGTGTATGGTTCTCTTATTGTATTGTTTAATTTGTTTGGTAATATTTTGCTGAGGATTTTTGCATCTACATTCATTAGGGATATAGGCCTGTCATTTTATTTTCTTGTGGCATCCTTGTCTGGTTTCGGTATCAGGGTAAAGCCGGTCTCATAAAATGAGGTTGGGGTGTTTCCTCTTCTTCTACTTTAGAAGAGTTTGAGAACAATTTGTGTCAATTCTTTAAATGTTTGGTAGAATTCACCAGTGAAGCCATCTGGTTCTGGACTTTTTGTTTGTCGGGAGGTTTTTGATTACTAACTCAGTCTCCTTACTAGTAATTGGTCTCTTCAGGTTCTGTTTCTTCACGATTCAGTATTTATAGGTTGTATGTTTCTAGGAATTTATCCTTTTCTTCTGGATTGTCCAAATTTTTTGGCTTATGGTTACTCATAGTGGTTTCTTATGAACCTTGTATTTCTGTGGTATCCGTTGCAATGTCTCCTATTTTATTTCTGATTTTATTACTTAAGTCTCTTCTCTTTTCTTCTTGGTGAGTCTAGTTAAGGGTTTGCCAATTTTATCGTTTTTTTAAACAGCTCTTTGTTTCATTAATTTTTGTTTAGTATCTTTTAAGTCTCTTTTTTTGGAGCAGTTCATTCCTGGAACAGCCGTCTGCGGGCCTTGGGAGGAGGCCCCAGAGGGCGCCAGGGGCGCACCTGAGGACCTGGACTGGGAGACGGAGGTAGGGGTTGGAGCAGGGAGCTGGGGAAGGGCTCCCAAATGTGGGAGTCCAGGTTGTAGTAGGGACCAGGTGCGCGTCTCTCTGGGCTAGGCTGGGGGCCTGGGGCCATGGCGCTCTGATGGGGCCCTGTGGGTGGGTCCCTAACCCGGATCCTGCAGTGTTTCCCAAAGTGTGGTACGTGTACCCCCAGGGGTACTGGAAAAGTTTGGTGGGGGTACAGGTTGCACCAGAGTTTGGTGGGGATATGCACTGCACCGTGCTTAGCTGCGCCTAATTCTTCGTTCTCATGAGTAGCAGGGGTACTCAGCGTTACGAAAATTATAGAAGGGGTACACATATGTCAAAAGCTTGGGAAATACTGATCCAAGGAGTCAGGAACCCGGGGGTCGCATCCTAGGTGTCTTCTGGGATGCTGATCTCTGGGACGGCGATCTCTGGGACAAAAGCGCAGAAGAATCCCTGCTGGACGGCGACGCCTCCCCCGGGAGCGTCCAGGTGAGCACGGGGCTCCAGGCCGCCGGGCGAGCGCGCCCCCGCGCCCGCGCCCCAGAGCGCCTCGGGCACCAGCACGAGGGTGTGCCCGCCCAGACGCACTCGCAGCACCGACGTGGGCGCGGGCTCCAGCATCAGGTCGACGCCGCTGTCCAGAGGCAGCTGCAGGGCGCAGCCAGCGGCCAGCACCACCACGGAGGTGAGCGCGGCGGCGGCCCTGGGCTCGGCCGGGCCCTGCAGGCCGGGCGCCATTCCGTGTTCGGGGCCCGCGGGCTCCTGGATTCGGCGGCGCTTGGCGGGGCCGGGCCCCCCGGGCTGCGGTTCCCACCGGGGCGCGGCATGGAAGCTGGGGCTGAGGGGGCGTCTGCCCAGCATCGGGGCGGCGGGGCGGGCGGTGCTCCTGGGCCTGGCGGAGGGGAGTGTCCCTCAGCGGCGGCGGCGGCAGGTGAGACAAGCTGGGGGCGGGCGGGTGCAGGGTGGGGCATCGCTGAGCGAGTCCTGGGAACTCGGGCGGTGCCTCCCGGGATGCCCGCAGCCCCAGATTCTAGGAGAGCCTGGCGGGGCTTAGGTCTTGCCCTCCAGCGCACTGAGTGACAATATGGGATGTCAGGTGACCTGCGTCTCACTATAAGCCCCGCCTCCTGGCACATCCAACAACGCGTTGAAAATGGAACATTTCTTATTTCTTTTTTTAAAAAAACCATATTGATTTTGTACAGAGAGGAAGGGAGAGAGATAGAAACATTGATGAGAGAGAATCATCGATCAGCTGCCTCTTGCACACCCCCTACTGGGGATATGCCCGCAACCAATGCACATCTAACCCGGGACCCTTCAGTCCCCAAGCCGACTCTCTATCCATTGAGCCAAACCGGTTTCGGCTCTTATTTCTTTTTCTATATCTGCTCAAGGTCCTTCCAATCTCAGAAAATAACAACTCCATCCTTTTTGTGCTCAGGCCCCAAGATCTTAATTTATCCTTGACTCTCACACCTTTCACAAGCAATCCTGTTTTCTCTATCTTCAAAATATATCCAGCCACTACCTGCAGCTTCGTATCACTCCTCTTGCTACTGCTTTAATGAGAGGCAGCATTGTTTATTGGGTGAATTATTGCACTCCATGAAGGCAGTGATTTAAAAAAATATATATATTTTATTGATTTTTTTTTTTACAGAGAGGAAGGAAACATCAACCAGCTGCCTCCTGCATACCCCCTACCGATGTGCCCATAACCAAGGTACATGCCCTAGACAGGAATCGAACCTGGGACCTGTCAGTCCGCAGGCTGGCACTCTATCCACTGAATCAAACTGGTTTCGGCAAGGAAGTAATTTTTAAATGTTTTGTTCTTGCCTGTATTCTTGGAGTTTGGAAAAGTGCATGGTACGTAGTAGGCACTTAATACATATTTGTTAAAGATGGCAGCTTTAAAAAGGAACTAATGATAAAGTACAGCATAGGGAATATAGTCAATAATATTGTAATAAGTATGTTGGTGCCAGATGGATGCTGGACTTACAGGGTGGTTGTAAGGTACATAAATGTCTAATTGCTGTATTGTACACCTGAATCAATAGGTCAGCTATAACTGAAAAAGGAACTAAAAAACACACACACTTCTATGGATTAAATATGGAAACATGGAAGCAAGAAATACAATGAGTGGGTTAAACAAAAGTTTAGACAGAATTGAAACTGGAAATACTGAACTAGAAATAGTATGCAGGAAGCTAAGAAGGTTAAAAAACACATGAAATAAGAAAAGCAAACGAAAACACATTATCAGAGAGAAAGCAGTTCTACATGACTGAGAATAGGGAAGTAGTATTACTCACAGAGATAATGAATAAGAATTCTTCAGATGTGATGATAGGGAAAAATCATTTGTTCATTCACTTAACAAATCCAACACATACTATTTAATTTCATAAAATGTCCTTCTCTCCTCTGAGCTTCACCAATATATATGAGGAATGAATAAACTAATTGTTAAGGACTCAATGTAATACAAATAAGATAGAAAGTTTAAATACAAAAAGTTAACCTTATAATAAATTTTTACTATTAATATTAAATACCACAGCCTGTTCTCTAACAAAAAAACTGCAGTTTCACTTGAATATTCTAAAAGCCTTTTTATTAAAAAAAATTTTTTTTTCAAGAACCATTTGCATAAGGAATGGTCAGAAATGGAGTAAAGGCTTTTCATAGCCTCCAGGAAAATCTTAGAGACTTCAGACACAGGCACTTATAAAAGGAAGCAAGTGGTTTATGAGATTGTATTTTAGCTAAAATTTCCCTCACAAATAAATGCCATGGGGCTCCCTCTCCTCCATCCCTGACGCTGGTTGCTATCTGTGGGGTGATTGGAGGGGTGATTGACCCCCTATTCGCACCCGCCTTGGCCTGGAGCTGCCCACTCTCTTGCTCCACCATCTGCTGCCCCAGTCCTGCTCTCCTTGAGGCCAGCAGCACCTCTACTGCTGCTCACTGCCAGCAGTGCATCACTGTTGCCTGCCATATTCTGCACTGCCCCCTGATGGTCAGCACACATCATAGCGAGCGGTTGAACTCCAGGTCAAACAATTTGCATATTACTCTTTTATTATATAGGATATCTGATTGGATTCTCAGAGATGGGGATATGTGGGATATTCTAAGATATAGAGCCTAAGATTTTGTGGAATTTCAGTCAAGAGATAATTCCCGATATTGATAGTTAGTTAAATTCTAATCAGCCAAATAAAAATAGAATTTACCCCAGAGACATTACAATAAAACTCTAAAACACCAAAGGAAAAGGAACATTTAAAATATGCTAAAATTGATAGCAGAATCAAATATAGAAGGTATAACAAACTGATTGGCAGAAGACTTCTTGCTTTCAAAAACAACAAAATGGCAGAACAATGGACTAACATCTTTAGTTAAACATCATGTTAGAATTAGTGAATATGCAATAAAACAGAAGAGTAAGCGAGTTTACCACACAAAAACATGTTCAGGTTTACAAAACCAAGACAGTTTATCATACATAGAACATAGTAGAAAGAACTATTAAAGGATATTCTTCAGCAAGAAGAAAATTGTGGCTAGACTTTATGAGTGGAACATAAGAATAAAGAGGCAGAGAAGAATTGGTAAAGTATGTGGTAAATTTAATAGTATTGATGTTTAAAAAATAAAATCATGTTGTCCTGACCCCGTGGTCGGCAAATTGCAGCTCTCGAGCCATGCGCGGCTCTTTGGCCCCTTGAGTGTGGTTCTTCCACAAAATACCACGGCCTGGGCAAGTCTATTTTGAAGAAGTGGCATTTGAAGAAGTTTGAATTTAAAAATTTGGTCCTCAAAAGAAATTTCAATGGTTGTACTGTTGATATTTGGCTCTGTGGACTAATGAGTTTGCCGACCACTGCCCTCGCCAGTTTGGCTCAGTGGATAGTGCCAGCCTGTGGACTGAAAGGTCCTGGGTTCAATTCCAGAGGGATTGCCCAGGTTGTAGGCTCATCCCCAGTAGGGGGCGTGCAGGAGGCAGCTGATCAATGATTTTCTCAACCTTGATGTTTCTCTCCCCTATGAAATCAATAAAAATATATTTAAGAAATCATGTTGACTTCAGGGCTTGATCAATAATATTTTATTTAATAAAAATGGGAAGTATAAATGTGCTAAATAAAAATTTAAATGTTAAAAGTTTGATTTACATAGGAAAAAGGTCAGAGTAAAATTAAAAGGGTCTGAAATAATGTGAACCAGCAGAAATGCAAACATTTTACATCAGCTTATAGGTCAAAACCAGCGGATGATCAGATTTAAAAATCCCAGTGCATGCTGGAAACAGCTGATAAAATCCCACAGTTACCATCATGCTCTTCTGCAGTTTTCCAGAAGAGCATCTGGACACACCAAGAAAGAGAAAACCGATGGTCTGGAATATCCTTCCTTTTCCTAACGTCTCGTCTGCTTACTATAGCCAGTCTGCGCGGAAGGAACTGTTTGCACACGAAGTGCTCAGTTTCCAGGTGGTAGGACATTGAGTATAACTCTGGAGGAAGGGGCAGTTCATTCCCGGAACAGCCGTCTGCGGGCCTTGGGAGGAGGCCCCAGAGGGCGCCGGGGGCGCACCTGAGGACCTAGACTGGGAGACGGAGGTAGGGGTTGGAGCGCTGAGCTGGGGAAGGGCTCCCAAAGGTGGGAGTCCAGGCTGTAGTAAGGACCAGGCGTGCGTCTCTCTGGGCTAGGCGTGGGGGCCTGGGGCCACGGCGCTTTGATGGGGCCGTGCGGGTGGGTCCCTAATCCCGTTCCAGCGGCCATCCAAGGAGTCAGGAACCCGGGGGCCGCGTCCTCGTCCTCGTTCCCGTCGTAGGCCTCTTCTGGGAAGGCGACCTCTGGGAAGGCCATCTCTGGGACAGCGATCTTTGGGACGGCCATCTCTGGGACGGAGATCTCTGGGACGGCCATCTCTGGGACGGCCATCTCTGGGACGGCGACCTCTGGGACGGCGATCTCTGGAGCGGCGACGATCTCTGGGACAAATGCGCAGAAGAATCCCTGCTGGACGGCGACGGGCTCCGGGCCGCCGGGCGAGCGCGCCCCCGCGCCCGCGCCCCAGAGCGCCTCGGGCACCAGCACGAGGGTGTGCCGGCCCAGACGCACTCGCAGCACCGACGTGGGCGCGGGCTCCAGCATCAGGTCGACGCCGCTGTCCAGAGGCAGCTGCAGGGCGCAGCCCGCGGCCAGCACCACCACGGAGGTGAGCGCGGCGGCGGCCCTGGGCTCGGCCGGGCCCTGCAGGCCGGGCGCCATTCCGTGTTCGGGGCCCGCGGGCCCCTGGATTCGGCGGCGCTTGGCGGGGCCGGGCCCCCCGGGCTGCGGTTCCCACCGGGGCGCGGCATGGAAGCTGGGGCTGAGGGGGCGTCTGCCCAGCATCGGGGCGGCGGGGCGGGCGGTGCTCCTGGGTCTGGCGGAGGGGAGTGTCCCTCATCGGCGGCGGCGGCAGGTGAGCGGGCTGGGGGCAGAGCCGCACGTCGCGGGGCAAGTCCTCGGAGCTCCTGGGCGCCCTGTCTGGAGGCTCGCAGTCCAGCCTGTGGGGAACCCGCGCCTCAGACTTCGAATCTTTGGCTCCTCGAGCTGGCCTGTGCGCGCTGGGAGGACCGAGGAAATGGCAATGGAGACGCTGGGAACCCAAATCTCACTTCCGCTAAGCTCCACCCCTTCCCAGGCTCCGCCCCCAAGTGGTCCGGCCCAGTATCCGCGTCTGTGGTTGGCAGGTCACTCTGAGGAAATACTTCTCTAGGCCTCTAGGGGGCAGAGTACTTGTCTAGGGAAGAAATGATGCGCCAGTAACAACTGGAAACATTTGCTTACTTTCGGGACCAAAGTTTTTCTGTGATTTCAGGCATTCCAGAAAAAAAAAAAAAAAAAAAAAAAAGATCACTCAACTAGTCTACTCACTTCTCAGCATCAAACGGCCCCAAATACTCCATGAAATTTCTTCTTTTTTTTTATTTTATTAATTTAATAAATCTTGCCGAAACCGGTTTGGCTCAGTGGATAGAACGTAGGCCTGCGGACTGAAAGGTCCTGGGTTCTATTCCAGTCAAGGGCATGTACCTTGGTTGCGGGCACATCCCCAGTAGAGGGTGTGCAAGAGGCAGCTGATGGATGATTCTCTCTCACCGATGTTTCTAACTCTCTATTCCTCTCTCTTCCTCTCTGTAAAAAATCAATAAAATATATTTAAAAAAATTTAATAAATCTTTATTGTTCAGATTATTACAATTGTTTCTCCTCCCCTCCCCTCCAGCTCCCTTCCACCCAGTCCCCACCCCACCCGAAATTTCTTTAATGCTTGTTCTTTAATTTCTGGGGTAAATGGAAAATACTGATTTCTCTTTAAGAGAAGTTTTGTTTTAATGCTAAAGTAAAATATTTGTGGCAGATTCTTCCTGAAGGTTAAGGCTGTTATAAGACTATTAATAATATCAGTAAAATTAAAACATTAATATAAACAAATCATTTTATTGAGCACTTATTATATACCCACCTTTTAAAAAAATATATTTTATTGATTTTTTACAGAGAGGAAGAGAGAGAGATAGAGAGTTAGAACCATCCATCAGCTGCCTCCTGCACACCCTCCACTGGGGATGTGCCCGCAACCAATGTACATCCCCTTGACTGGAATCGAACCCGGGATTTCTCAGTCCGCAGGCCAATGCTCTATCCACTGAGCCAAACTGGTTTTGGCTATACCCACCTTTTTATTGAGTAATTTAAATAAGAATTTTCTTTAAAAATATGGTTGACATACAAAAAACTTATGTATACAACTTGAGTTTGGAAACAAGTATAAATCCCTGAAATCATCACAGTTAATGCCATAAACATATCCAGAGCTTACTCCTGCCTTCTTTGAAAAAAACAAACTGATCTTTTTCAGTCTTCACAACAGGTGAAACTGAGAATGGTAAAGTAAGTTATTCAAAATTAAATAGCTAGTTTGTGTTAGATGTAGGAATCAAATGCAGACTTATCCGGTTTTAAGTCATGGACTTTTTACTTATATTTATTGTGTATATCTAGGAGTGAATTGCTAATTGGTACTATGTATGCCTTTTCAAATTAACAGGTAATGCTTCCCCATTTCCCCCCCAAAGTGTTTTTCATAGTTTACACTCCTGTGAGGAGAGCATATTTCCATACATCCTTGCAAACATCTCTTATTGCCAGACTCTTAAATCTTTCCCAATCTGATGTACTTACATGCTATCCTACTGTTTTCATTTGCATTTCTGATTGTCAATCATTTTTTATATGCTTATTAGCCATTTTTATATTTTATTCTTTGAAATGTTTCTATCTTCATTCTGATTTTTTTACTTTAAAAAATTGGGTTTTGACTCTTCCTCCAGTTTATGCAGCATTGGTACCTTCTTCAAAGACCAACTTAGCACCTTCTCATAAATGCCACCGCTGACAGTTTTATTTGATATGCCTTTCTTCATTTACTATGTCATCACTCTCTTTATGGCCTTCGTAATATTACCTCAGCTTATAGAGAAACAAAATATTGTTTAAAAAGATTAGGTTTCAGACATATTTTATACCCATCATTTAGCACATACATGTATAGCAAATGTTCTATCATAGTTATGAGAACTTTAGAACTTGAATTACTATAATTCTCACACATTTTACACCTGGCATAATTTGTGGTGGTTTTAATTTCCCATGGGTTCCCTCTGGCCCCAAGTCTTGGCCTCTTCCCTTTTCCTTCAACAATTTTGTCTTCCCTTCTACCTCATTGATTCTTACTCTTGACCCTGTCATTACCTCCATGATCACATTTCCAACCATTTTATTCTCAGAGTACCTCCTAATTTTCTGGTTTAGGCCTTTAAATATTTAAACTCTATCAGACCTTCCATCCCTCTGGACAAGCCCATGGCTCCTACTATCTTTTCATTATAATCATTGCCATGTTTATATCTTCAGCTCCTTTTCCTGTCTCCTACTTTGCTGGTTGATATATCTGTGACTTTGTGCCTGAACTTGTGCAGCTGAATGGGGCTGGAGAAAAACACTCAATCTCATTGACTGGTCTCATTTGATATTCATGATCATTAACTTCAAGTGGGCTCCAAACCCTGCCCAGGGATCTTACTCTTATGCTTTATTCCATCACTCTCTTGTTGTTCTAGATGGATATTGCATGCTTTCTCCTCCCTCTGCAAATCTCCAGTACCTCACTCCTTATGTTCTTCCCTAGATGGTCACCTTGCTTCTTTTCCACTGAGGTAATATAAGCAATCATGAAATACTTTTCAAAATTCATCTATTTCTCCAAGCTCCACTAAGGACTATACATTCTGTCTTCTCTTCTGTTCCCATGGATGAAATGTTTATGCTCCTAGCAAAGGCCACTTCCTCCATTTGTGCACTTGATTTCAGTTCATTTTGCCTCCTCAAGAACATCAATCTGGCAGTTATCCCATCTCTATCTAGCATCATCAAAGTTTAGTTACCTTTACTGAATAAGTATCTTCATTGTATAATTGAGAGGTAAACTCTTCCTTCTTTTTTTTTTTTTAAAAAAAGTATTTTTATTGATTTCAGAGAGAAAGGGAGAGGGAGAGAGAGAGAGAGAAAAACATCAATGATGACAATCATTGATTGGCTGCCTCCTGCACATCCCCTACTGGGGATGGAGCCTGAAACCCAGGCCTATGCCCTGACTGACTAGAATCCAACCATGACCTCCTGGTTCATAGGTTGACATTCAACCACTGAATTACGCTGGGCAGGCAAATCAGCCTATAGAAAGTCCTCAGGTTATGTAGGAGTTCCTTTCCTATAGTGCAACGTAACTCGATTTTCGCTGTAAGTCAGAACCCTCCTGCATAAGCACCTACGTCACTCACATGGAGCACATACACAGCAGCAATGGAGTGAAACAGTAAAAAAAAAAAATTAAAAGAAAGATAACAATTCCTGACCTTTACTTGTGGTGAATAAATAATTAAAAAAACCATAAAGCACATGTGTACATACGTCAAAATGACGGAACTTAAAAAAATAAATAAATACTGTAAATGGGAGATAGTGATGTAACCACGAAACGACATAAGTCAAGTCCAACATAACCTGAGGACTGTCTGTATTATTATTATACTAGAGGCCTGATACATGAAATTTGTGCAGGGTGGGGGGTGTCCCTCCCTCAGCTCAGCCTGCGCCCTCTTGCAATCCGGGACCCCTTGGGTAGGGTCCGTAGGCCTGGTAGTGATCAGAGCCTATCAGAGCTTTCCTTCCCCCTCCAGCCCCCTGCCAGCAGCTGGCCTTGTCCCGCCACTGCCATTGCTTGCCATCCCCCCCCACCACTGGTAGCCTTCCTCTGTGGGCGACAGGCATGGGGTGCGATCACTTGGCTGGCCTGGGCCTCCCTCTGTGGGGCATCACTGGCTGGCCCTACACACCCGCCACAGCATCCCTGGCTGGTGGGCTGGGCCTTCCTCTGCGGGTTTTAGTGGGGCGATGGCAGGGCCCCCTAACCAATTGCATTGCACCCATTTCTGCTGGCCTGGCACCAGGGCGTGTCATAGTGTGGTCCTCTGAAAGTTCGTCTGGACAGTAGTTCTGCTGTTTGGTTGTTCAGTAGATTTGCATGTTATGCTTTTATTATTACAGATTTTGCTATTGAGTTGTTTGAGTTCCTTATTTAGTTTGAATATTATCCACTTAACACATCTATATTTTCTCCCATTCTGTAGATTGCCCTTTTATTCTGCTGATTGTTTCCTTTGTTTTAGTTTGATTATTTTTGCTTTTGTTACCTCTGCTTTTGGTATCATATTAAAAAAAATCATTGCCTAGATCAATGTCAAGAAGCTTTTCCTCTATGTTTTCTTTGAATAATTTTATTGTTTCAGGTCTTATGTTTGAGTCATTAATCAGTTCTGAGCTGATTTTTGTATATGATGAGGTAAGGGTCCAATTTTGTTCTTCTACATGTGGACATCCAGTTTTCCCAATATAATTTGTTGGAGAGACTATCCTTTCCCTATTATCGACTGTTGGCACCCTTGTTGGAATCTATTGACTGTAAGTGTGGGGATTTATTTCTGGGCTCTCTATATGTTTCACTGGTCTATATGTCTGCTTTTATGTCAGTACCCTACTGTTTTAATTACTGTAGATTTATAATATATTTTGAAATCAGAAAGTCAGATGCCTCTAGCTTTGTGTTTGCTAAGATTGCTGTGGCTATTCAAGGTCTTTTGTGGTTTCTTATGAATTTTAGGATTTTTTTTCTATTTCTTTTGTTTGTTTTCTTTCAAGATTGTTATTGGGATATTGACATGAATGGCATTGAGTCTGGAGCTCACTTAGGGTACTATGAAAATTTTAACAACTTTCGTTTTTCCAAT